CTGTAGAAAGACCCATATGTACATATAATGGGCTGTGTTATAGATGACATTTGAAGTGACGTCATCAATTGTTCATCACGTGCACAGAGTATTTCAAATATCTGAGACAGCTTGTGTTTGTCCACTAACACATTTCTAGTTGGCTTTTTCGCAAAATTTGCGAAAAAGCCTTTCTTTTTGTTCTCATTTTTTTTTTTTTCATCATCTTCTTTCTTCTTTTTGTCGCCTAAACCCCATAGACTTTGTGCACATTTTTTCTGGCCTCCACTTTTGGCATTAATCTTGGTCATACATCATTCAAAGTTGGCATAAGCATAGTCCCTATAGCAAAGATGTGTCCCGAAGATTGACGTCATGGTGACGTCATCGACTAATTTATTATAGATTTTTGAATATTTAAATTTTCCCATAGACTTTGTACACAGAAATTTTAAAAAAATTGTCGATTTTCAAAAGGCATTTTCGACTGTTTCCCAGTAATTCATTTACACCACTATTTGTCCAAGCAAATACCCTAATTCAAACAACATTGTATAATGATGACGTCATGATGACGTCATCCGGTGTGTATTTATAGGCAATTAAATTGTGACACTTTTAATATTTAAAAATGCATAAGAAATCAACCGTACGCGTCCGCAGCATTCTGTTGCAGGCAAATGGTAGAGTAGGTTGAGGTCTTTATTTCATTCAGTGTGCGTGCAATCACGTGACCCTTGCTTCCGGTCGAAAAAGGCCAAAACCGGAAGTGGCTTATATTTTAAAAGCGGTAATAGATATGAACTTGCTTTTAACGGTGTTAGTCACTTGGCTGATAGTATTCTTCAAATCATTTACCGATGACGTCATGCAATCTTCGAGCGCCCTCTAGCGACAGGTTGAACATTTGCAAAAATGTATTTTGAATAGATGTCTGTGGCGAAGTTTGTCGGAATCGCCTAAATATTGGTGTATATGATGACCTTGACCCACTTAAGACGTGTGCGAAGTTTTAGGCGTATGACATCATCAGATCGGAAGTTATAATGAAAAGACTCTTTTTCCTTTGAAAATTCCTGAAAAATCAACCATGGCAGTTTTTATATTTGTTTTTACTTTAATTGTCGATTGAAGGGTAGGTCTAAAACATTTGAAAGTTGCGAGGTGATAAGCGAACTCGAACATACCCTGCGCACGCTTAAAACTTCAGGTTGACAATACCTCTGCTTCAAAACATGCACACGACGTCCACGATGTATGTACATGCACGTACGTTGTTCATAGGCACATACATCGTATGTCAGTCAGCCTGCAGCGCACGTGTTGCTGAGGTCAAATTCTGTGCACAGTGACCGTTTTAGCCGATTTTCGGCTAACTTTGACAGATTGTATGTTCATGCATGCGCATAGACAGGGACGTATTATAGCACTTTTGGCATTAATCTTTGTCAGACATCATTGAAAGTTGGCATAAGCATAGTCCCTATAGCCAAGATGTGTCCCAAAGAGTGACGTCATGGTGACGTCATTAAGTGATTTATTATGGATTTATGAATGATTAATTTTTCTCATAGACTTTGTACACAGCTTTCTCCACAAGTCTTTCCCTATACAACACTGATATATCTTACTGAGTAGTTCTGAACTTCGGCCGAGAATTACTATGAGAAAGAAAAAGAAATCGTATTTTTTTTATGCCTGTCATTTGATTGAAAATATTCCCAAGAGTTAGAATAGCAAGTAATATTTTATAAAAATGTTTCAGTTTAAAGGCAAATCACGTATTTAAAGGTGCAGTTTTTCTGCTGTGGGATTTTTAACCCATTGACTTTGTACACGTTTTCAAGCCACCATTTCTATAACTTGGCGATCTGGAATCGTCATCAAAGTATCAGCCAAGGAAGACCCTCATACAAAATTATGCCAAGACTATGGCGTCACGATGACGTCATCACCTAATTTTTTATTGATTTTTGAAAATTTACGTGCATATTGTGAAGTCTTATATCTACAGAAATGTAAGTCCGATTGGGTTGAAACTTGGTATGTGGCTATACCAGGATGTGTTATAGGTTAAAGATGAGGTGACGTCATGATGACGTCATCCTGAGATTTTATATGAATATTTGATTTTTTGGACCTTTTAGCCATATCTCCCGAACGCAACATGCAAAATGCAAACTTCTTTTTTGCATTTGGTGTGTAAGGTAATAGGTATTCGCACAAAACTTGAAAAATGTGTGACGTCATCATGACGTCATCAAAATGCGATTTTTCAAAACTCATATAAGGAAAGGTCCAATTGTCATGAAACTTGGTGGGTAGGTAGATAATCGTACTAGTATGCAAAGTCCGAAGTGACGTCACGATGACGTCATCGTTTTTTTATGATTTGTTAAATATTTATAATTTTATTCTGCTTCCAAAAATTGCACACTTTCTTTTATCGTATTGACATTAAACTTGGTTCAAACCAAGACCACAATGACAAAATGTGCATTGAGAAGGGTTTTAAAGATGACGTCATGTGATAAAATCACATTTTAGGAATTATTCTAAGCTTTTTGAACAACCTTTAACTGCATGAAGCACTCTGAAAAGTGCCTGCAAAAGAACCAACAAAACAAACATTTGTAAAATGCAAAAAAGCCCTGTGTTCTGTTTGCAAACAGACATACAGCTCTAGTTTTTCTTTCTTCTTCTTTTTGTTTCCTCAAAATCCCATAGACTTTGTACTCGTCTTTTCCGGCCTTCACTTTTGCTATTCATCGTTGTCATACATCATTCAAAGTCAGCATAGGCATAGTCCTTATAGCATAGATGGGCCCCGAAGAGTGACGTCATAGTGACGTCATCATGGGTCACGTGATGTCACTTTAAAGATTTCTAGATTTAATCTTTGAAAATCAATATAAAATCAACCGTGAGAGACCTGAACTTGATTTTTGCAGGACTTGATATATAGTAATCCAGGGTCTTCATTTTATTTTGTGTGCGTAAAATCACGTGACCCTTCCTTCCGGTCCAAAATGGAAGTGGCTTATAATTTAAAAATGGAAAAAGATGTGAACTTGCTTTCAACGATGTTAGTCTGTGGCTAGGTTGTACTTCATACAAAAATTACCAGTGACGTCATGAAATGTTAGAGCGCCCTCTAGCGGCAGGTTGAAAAGTGTTTAAAATGAATTTACAGTTGATGTCTGTGGCGAAGTTTGTGGTAATCACTTCAAAATGTGCATATATGATGACCTTTATGCAAACAAGACCTGTGTGTGAAAAAAATTGATGAACTCATCAGACCGGAAGTTGCAATGAAAAAATCTTTGAACTTTAAAAAAATTGCTGAAAAATCAATAGCAAGAGATATAATCCAAATGTTTGCTTCTAATAGCACAGTTAACATATAGCTCTCTAGCTTTCTGGTAGTGACATCACGATGACGTCATCAGGTATCAGATTACAAGCAACCAAAGATTTCTAGATTTTATCTTTGAAAATCAATGTAAAATCAAGTGTGAGAGATCTGATTTTGCTTTTTACGGGAATTGATAGAATAATCCAGCGTTTACATTTTTGATATTATTTAAAATCACGTGACCCTTCCTTCCGGTTCAAAACGGAAGTGCCTTATAATTTGAAATTTAAAAAAGATGTGAACTTGCTTTCAACGATGTTAGTCTGTGGCTAGGTTGTTCTTCACAAAAAATTACCAGTGACATCATTAAATGTTAGAGTGCCCTCTAGCGGCAGGTTGGAAATTGAATTTTTCAAAGGAAGATGATTTACATGTTACATAAAATACAGTAGTTTTTAAATTAAACAGTTGTGTAACAAATGAGACAAAACTAATTCTTTTATAGGGGGACCTGGAAAGCCTTCTTTTTCTAGCTGGTTACAAATAACCCATCTCCATAAGATAATTTTTGTGTCTATAGGCTACTCTCTTTCCTGGATATTTGAAATATCATTGTGATTCGTCAAAGCATGGCCAAATGCATAGCTAGACAAACAAACAGAGACAAACAGAGAAACAAACATACCAACCGAGAAGCAGATAAATAGACAGACAACAAACAGATGTCGTTCCTGTATTAGTCAAAAAAAAATAGTTCTGCTTCTGGTTTCCCTACCTACCCTATTCTGACAGCCCCTACCCTAATTTTTTTATTGGAAAAATGAGAGAAAAAACACCCAAAACCATCAATTTCTACCTTTTACCCTTGACTACACGCAGAAGCCTCCATATGATTGTACACAAAAACATTTGCAAAAAAAATATTCCCTACCTACCTACCCTATTTTCAAATGCCATGTAATCGGAAGCAGAACTATTTTTTTTTGCCTTAGTATAGATACAAAATCAGAAGCCATGTTGATGTCATAATGGGTCCCACAGTTCATCTTCTTAAAGGTGTACAGTCTTCAAGTCCTAAATGTTCTACATGTAACAAAAACAACAACAGCGCATAAAATAATGATAATGCATTCAAAACAGAAAAACATAACCTCAATTAAAAAAACATAATGCGGAAAAGCCCTATGTTCTGTTGCAAACAGACATACACCTCTAGTTTTTATTTATGTTTTTGTTTTTTCAAGTTTTTGACCAAAAAAGGTAGTGATGAACCAATGAATGGGAATAGTTATGTGGTAGAGCGGTTTTAAATGTCTGGTTTACAACCAGTTAGGGGACTGGTCACCGATAATGGCCTGATCCATAATCATTGCGGGACAGTAGGCCAATACAATCCATGTTGCCCCACATTAGCCACCATGTGCTTGCACCAGCGGCCAGTTGAAATCAGAATGTGCAAAAGTTATATCAAAATACAAACTGACTTCTTGCAAATGTTAAGGCAGTTGAGGTTTATGTATGAGCTTGATTCGTTGTAGGACTTGGCGTCAGTAGTTACAAGCAGTTGTAATCTGGCAGGCATATGTTAGAGAATTTTCAGTCATATTTGATAAATGTACTCTATCAAAGACTGATACTACAGTTATACATTTTTGTTGTGTATTAATTGTCATCCATTAAACTTCAGGTGATTGGTGTGAGGTTGACTGGAACGCTAAGTGGCTGGACTGCTCCTAAAGGTAATTGACAAGTTACAACTAGTCTTTGTTCATTATCCTGTTGCAGTCTTGACTGTCATACCAGCAATATCATTTCTCTTCATACCATGTCATTTGATTTTCTACTATGAAATCATGTTATTGAAGCCCTGATGTGAATGAAATGCTTTTGTGCTCATTGACTTCTGTCATCAAAATACTTACATTTGTAATTAAATAGGAATCATATAAGGCAAAAACTAGTATTTGTGTTTGTGATCATTGTATGAATGTTGTGGTGATAAAATCATTGTATGTGCGCCTGACAGGCTGCCACACTCCGAAATCTCTCCAGATATCCTTCACTTTTTTTGCCGTTTTCGTTGTTGATGTCGTTGTAAGGTCTGTGCAGATAGCATTGTCTATGAGTACTGACTCCTCTGACCTCATCTCAGTCAGGATTTCCTCCCAATCTTCTTGATATTTAAGGTAATGTTTTCGATTTACCATGGTGTTGCCTTAACGGAGTGGAGACATTTTGGCTTCTGGATACTATCCATTCAGCCTTTGTATGTGAGGATTAAACTAAGGAGTGCAATTGGATTACAACCCTTGAACACACAGTGAACAATTGACTCTCTCTGAAGTGCTCATCAGCCCCAGTATACCTGGACAATGGAACCTGCTTGGTTGTTCATGCTAGCCCTTGCCCTGGGCTCATGCACGACTGCGTGCACTGATCCAGTCTGCAGAAAACAGACTCATTTCCTACATTGTGTCTTTTGTGGCAAACTGGCCCACTGCAAACTCCTTGGAGCGAGGGTACCTTACTACAACAATTCTACTGCAACTTTTCAAATTCAGCTTCTTGAAGCAGGGGATATCAATCCCAATCCTGGTCGCGATATTTTTTATTACACAACTATCTGGGGTACTTTGTGCGCTTTCCTATGGAGCATGGTTTTTATAACCAGGCTTGTGTGGAGGCTACTATTTTTCATCTTTGTGCGGATTTCGGACTTTATTTTCCTTTTAAAAAAAGTCCTCCAGAGCCCCGGATCAGAAAAGAAAAAGAAAATTGCTGCTATACAAGTAGTATCCGACTGAAAATAACATTTCTAAGATAAAACTTGAAATTTTTGAAAAAAAGAGCAAAACCTGAAAAATGCACAGCATGGTATCGAACTCGAGACCCCTGATCATTAGCCAGCATGCCTAACCACTAGGCCACAGCGATGCTAGATCAACCTTGCAATTCATAAATTATATAGTCTACATCACTCTACTTACCTGTAGAGCGAATACTACATATGCATTGTTCCCTATGCCGGCAGGCAATTCGCTAAGAGTGTTACATACAATAGCGCCCTCACGTGTCCTACCCACGACGGCCTGTGACATGCGCACTACGTTAGCGTCCTCTTTTTCTCTTAGCCGCAGGCGAGGTATAACGTGGAATTTCAATCGACCTGAATTTCACTATTTTATTGGTACCTCTTTTGCTTGGAGAAAGCTATTTCGAAGAAATAAAGAGAAAGTATTTATTGTAGAGTTGTTCTAGTGAAGGATTTGAGTGAAAGTGAAGTAAGAAATGAGTAAATCTAGGAAGTTGGGGAGGACTGGGTGTGTCGATAATGGAGGGACGTACATCCCACCAGACAAGCCCGAGTTCTCGGGGGACTGCACCGGTGATGGTACGTCACCGCGGCAGCAGTCCCCTAGTCGGCCCCTTCAGCCACTGCCGGCTGTCGGAGCTGACGGACCCGTTGACCAAGCGGGGGGCCGTACAACCCCACCGTCTTCGGTCAATATTCACGGGTCCGCCCAACTGAAGGGGAAACGCACCGGCAAGACAAGGAAATTGTCTGACGCCGGGGCAGTACCCAAAAAGGGACGTACGGCAAAAGGTGGCCCCGCTACGGGGCGCACCGTGCCTGTCCCTGGCCCGTCTACGGGGCACACGCAGCCGGAGGAAGTACTCCTCCATGGCTCAGTGCACCCAGGCCCACCCAGCCCCGTGATTACCACGATGCCTGGGGATGGGCTGTTATATGGCCGGTTGATCGACCGTACAGCACCCGCCTATGTTACCGGCGTGGGGGCGCTGTCGGCCGCCCGGGCTATTGATAGCGTAGAGCCGAATCCCTGGGATTCCCCCAGAGATTTAACGCTACGCTCGGAGGGCCGTGCCTCTACATCGGATTTTATTCGTTGTTCGGGCATCCCCGTGTCCCCGCAATCCTCGGCAACTACTCGGAGTCGTTCTTCAAAGAAGAAAAAATCAAAAAAGAGCCGCCGTTCCCGCCGTTCTTCGACGAGTTCTAGCGAGTCATCCGGCCGATCACACCGTGGGAAACGCCACAAGGGTGGCGACCCGATCTCACGCGATGATTTTTTGGAGGCCTTTCACTCCCTCGCGGCCTCATTGTCGGGCCGACAGGGAGATTACGGTCACAGTTGGCCGACTCCGGGCCAAAGGGACATACCGCACACGGTTAGCCGTGCGCCGGAGTCCCCTCCAGAATTACAGCCCCCACACGCCAGTCATCACGGCCGTGGTGGGGTGACTACAGACCAGCGGACAATGCCGTGCACGGAGGGCCGTGCACCGGCGTCCCCGCCCGGTATTAGTTTACACCCATCGGTGTCACTAGACTCTGAGCGGGGCTCGATACCGGGACACCGTGATGGCGCTGCTTCGCCCCCGGGGCCTGGTTCCCATTCCCCGGTGACAACTCGCCCCCCGGACTCTGACAATTCGGCGGACGAGAGCGAACTGACCCGCACCATGCAACGCCTATCGGTGGCTGAGACCGAACTTCGCCTGGTCCAACGGGATATGATCAGAGTTCTGAATCTTCCTGCTGGTACCGAACCTCCTCCTCCTGAGCGTCAGTCGTTCAAGAAGAGATCGGGACCGACGGCAGAACTGGTCCGGGCTTTTCCCACAATGCCCTTGGACCGCGTGTGCGTTGACCACATCGACGGTATAATGCACGCAAAAACATGGAGTGCCTACGCTAAACGCGTAGACTCATATTATCATTTCCCCCCAGGGGATTTTGAGAAATATTTCTCAACTCCAGTCCTGCCGGACTCGGCCATTGACAAACTCGCCGCTGACCGAGGGACAGCTTCATCCAAGGTTCCTTTTACAGACAAGACCCGTGGAAAGCTGGAGGATGTCACCCGCAGAATGGACTCGGCGGCACGCATGGGTTTGCGTGCGACGTCCTTTCTTCTTCTCCTGTCAGAGTACCTGGCACTGGGATATGAAGAAGATTCGGTGATACCAGCCGACATGATGGTGGCTGCTCTCCATTGCCTCGATCGCGGCCTGTGCTCCACTCTCGACCAGTTTGCTAGAGTGTCGACCTTAGCAACATCGTCACGCCGCACCAATGTGCTAGATGCGCTTTTCCTCCCTTCACCGGGAGCACGAAAGCGTCTCGATGATCTCCCGCTCTCAGGCCCGGACTTATTTTCTGGTAAGTTCCAGGAGGCCATGGAGGCCGAGGCAAAGCGCCTCAAGGCCACGGAGAAAATAAATCTCAAGAAACCGGCCGAGCTGAAAACCGCGGACAAGAAGAAACAGCCATCTTTTGTCATTCCCCGGCGCCGCCCCCCGGTCAGAGCGGCCCGTGGTGGATTTCGTGGGCGCGCCGATAAGGCGGTTGGCCCGCGCTATTCACAACCACATACCGGACAACAGCGTCCCCAGTCGGGACGCGGTTTCCGTGCGCCCACTCCCCGGTACACCGGGGCGTGGCGCAAGTGACTTATGCGTCTCCGGGCGGCCTCCCACCGCTGGACCCGTGGGAGGCCGCCTTCAGGAGTTCGTGGGGTCCTGGGTGCAGGTGACTTCCGACCGGTGGGTCCTCGAAACAATCAGCAGCGGTTACGCGTTTGAGTTTACGAGGACCCCCCCCGTCGGACATGCTTATTCGGACAACGCCCGTACCGCCCGACACAGCAAAACGCCGCTCCCTCGAGGAGGAGATCGACGCCCTCCTTCTAAAGAGAGCAGTTCGTGTTGTCCCCCAAGGGGGGACCCGGGCAGGTTTCATGTCGACCTTCTTCTTGGCCCCCAAGAAGGAGACCGGCGTGTGGCGTCTAATACTGAACTTAAAACCCCTCAACAAGTTCATACGTCCGAAACGTTTCCGCATGGAAACGTTACGGACCATTCTTGCATCGATCATAACACCAGCGTGGGCGGCCAGTATAGACTTGAAAGACGCGTACTTTCACGTACCGATCAGGCCGGAACATCGCAAATTCCTACGTTTCCAATACAAAAATACACTGTACGAATTTGTGGTGCTCCCGTTCGGGCTATCCACTTCTCCGCGGGTGTTCACCCGGATCGTGAAGACGATCGGGGCGGCACTGCGGCGTCGAGGGGTCATGATATTCATGTACCTCGACGATTGGCTAGTAGTGGGCCGTTCTCGAGGGGAGACGGAAGCGGCGCTCCAACTAACGTGGCAACTTGCTTCCGACCTGGGATTTCTCATCAACACCAAGAAATCCCATCCAGTCCCCTCTCAGATTCCCACCTTTCTAGGTGCATCCCTCGATCTTCGCAGGGGACTGGCCCGTCCATCGGAGGACCGCCTGCTGAACCTTCGGCAGTGTGTGTCCCTCTTCCTCCCGACGGTAGTGGCTCCGGCCCGAGCCTGGCTCAGGCTGTTGGGCCTTATGGCCAGTCTGGTAGACTTAGTGGATTTTTGCAGGCTGCGGATGAGGCCAATTCAACTTCACCTGCTGTCTTTCTACAGACCCCGCTGGCACCCGATCGACCATCCGGTGCCCACTACGTCTTGGCTAGTCCCCCACCTTTGTTGGTGGCTAGTCGAGGCCAATATAACGCAGGGCCGCGTTTTCCGCCCGCCCCGCCCGTCGGTACTTATCACAACCGACGCGTCAGGGTACGGCTGGGGGGCTACCCTCCACCCGCGACAGGTCGCGGGCGTATGGGGCCCCGCACATCAGTCATCCCACATCAACGTCCTGGAAATGCTGGCAGTCACCAACGCACT